ATGATGCCATTAGGGTCTCGTGGTCTATCCCACGTGATAACAACACGTGGTCCAAGTGGATGTTGTGCAGGTATCAAAGTACCAGTGACATTTACTGGAGCAGAAGGAGCTTAAAGACAGAAATATAGTACTTCTAAACATCGTCTTATTTTTGGCTCTTGATTTTGTTTACAGGCTTTTAGTAGACTATTAGCTAACAGAATCTCCATTCTTTCTCTCGCTTGTGGAGGGAAATAGTCCTCATCGGCTCGGGCGTAATGATTTCCCATGTCATACCACGTTTTCATTCCCTTGAGAATAAGATTCTTTGTTTGAATGGTATCCACATTCATGTGTCTTCTCATGTGCAACCGAGCGCAACCGTTAAACAAAGAAATGATACTCTATAGAATGAAACGTGATCTGAAACGGAAAACATCACGCCAAAGCCGAGGAGGATTGTTAAAATGAGACTCTGCCAGCAGGGTAGTAGACAATATTTTACCGTCCTCCTTTGTTTTTATCTTTGTTGTCTCGCTCCATGATCCATTTACACGTTGTGTTCTTGCTAACACCCTTACTTTGTATTCTGTGTATGGCTTCAGACCCAGTAAAGTGTACTGCTTATCACTGCTGCTTGCATAAAGCGGATCTTCCCTTCCATTGCTTATGAAAAATCCAGTTATGGGACATGTTGGATTGGACTGTTTGATCGTCCAGCTTAGTTGGATTGATCTTGGATGAGGGATTGTTGTTACTACTGGGGCTTCTAGAGAGAAAGATAAAAACACCTTTACAAAAAGTCAAGGAAAATGCACTCTTCGATTCGTTTCTTCTTATATGCAAAAAAAAAACAACACAACACGAATAATACTGGAACATGCTGGTACATACCTTGGTAAAAAACACCARTGTACATATTAACGCGTATCGTCTTGTGATTATGAAAGTCAACCGGGACAAATCTGAAGTACCTTGCTGTTATCGGGTTTTGACTAAGATCGTGACGTTTTACTCCATTACTGTTTGTATTGCCTTCAAACATCTAAAAATGTATAAATTAATTAATACTTAAAAACAGATCGTTTTTATTGATCTCCAGCAGTAAKATTAATCATGATCAGGCATCATTAGAATCATCATCAGAGAAGCGCATGTATTCCAGCAGAGTCTTGAGTATAGTCTTTAGTATAGTACCCACAACAGGAGGTATGGCAGATGAGTGCAGAAGATAT